CTAAAAAAAACCTACTTCCAAGTTTAGGTCATGCCTTGGGACATTTTTAGAAATGTCTGATATTCCGAAAGGAAATACTCGTCTTCTACCTATGGAGTTTGGTATTTTTGGTTTTGAATATTCCGAAACAATTAGTATGGAGAATTTTGATCAAGTTTTACAACATACGCAATTAGGCCTCGGTGTTGTTAATACATACATACGGTATATTCGATCTACTTTGTTTAATTAATTGATCAATTCATTTACTCATTTCAAATGTTAATGAGGCCTTTTATTTAATGTTTTTATATGAAAAATTGATGCGCCCGAGTGGAATGGAACAAAGATTTTCTTTCTTATCTCCTTTCAGTACAAACTTAGGGTTAATCATTCATAAACTAGATGAAGTCATGGTGTATGTACTTGAGCGCTTTATGGCCGACGAAGATACCGAAAAATTGTTCTTTTTACCGCTTATTACCGACAACGGGTTAGATTTTCATTCTAAATTCATCTATTATAATTTTTCATATTTTGACGTTGTGTAGAAATTTTTCATATCACATTTGTTTAATCTTACAGTGGACGTTGGTTGTTGGTCGTGATTAATCCTATCAGAGAAGTTGTATATTATCTGGATTCTTTACGCAATGATCCAAGTACATACCAAGATATGAAGAATATGGTTGATACGTAAGTGAGATTGTTCTAAATATTCGTGTGTATATTTATTTATGTGAATTATTCTAAATATGCATTTATGTTTTATTAGCATTATACAAGTTTTTCGAGCACAAAGAGGTGTTCAAGTACCAAAGAGTAAAGCCAACAACATTACATGGATTATAGTGGAGGTATATTAATTAATTATCACAATTTTGATTATATTAATAGTGATGATACTTGATAAAACTTAGATCTTATCCATATTTTTTTTCATGTGTAGTGTCCTCAGAAGTGTAATGAAGTAGATTGTGGTTTTTACATCTTGAGGTTTATGAGAGAAATCCTTCTTTTAGATCGAATAGAGATTCCATCTAAGGTATGGATTTCTAACTTAGGAGTTATTTTAATATTTAACACATATTTCTTATATAATTAAATAGCTTTAACTTAAACATACTATATTATATTATTATATAGTACTTTGATGAATTCAAGTGTGCTTATTATTCAAGTTCTTAGTTGGATGAACTTAAGGAGGATTGGTGTCAATACATTATTCTGACGAAAGTTATATAAGGTATATTGTAATCATACTTTAATTGATGAGAATTTTGAGTATATTCAAGTGTTGCAATTTTGTTGTTGTTTGTCATGTGTTAAATTATATATACTTTGTTTGTATCATGGTATGAATTATGATATTTTGGTGTTGTTTCAGGTTATATGTGCATATGTAGAAGATAAAGATGAATAGATTTTGTAATGGTATATAGTGGTGTTGTTTTGGTGTTGTTTTTTTGTAAAAGTATATATGTACAAGAGTAATATTAGTATATACAAGTATATTGGTGCAAATGTATAGTATCTTTTGGTATTATTTTTTATTGGGTTGAGGCTCCAATATTAGTGAAAATCTAGTGAAATTTGTAATAGTATATATAGGTACAAAATATGGTGAAAACCTGGTGCAAATATGGTTAAAATCTGTGCATATAAAATTGTATATATCAAAAAGGTTATATAAAAAACTTCGTTGACATTAGACAACGCTTTAAAAAATGATGTCTAAAGCCCCATTTAGACAGTGCTTTTTCTATAAAAACGTTGCCTAAAGGGGATTTTTTTTATAAATAGCAGCGCTTTAAAAAGTGTTGCCTAAAGAGGGCTTTGGACAGCGCTTTAACATTAAAAGCGTTGCCTAAAGGGGCTTTTTTTTTTAAAAAAAAATTGTTTCAGAAAAAGCGTTGGCTAAAGGGGACCTTTGGCAGCGCTTTAAAAAGCGTTGTCTAAAGGGGGGCTTTAGACAACGCTTTAACATTAAAAGCGTTGCCTAAAGGGGCTTTTTTCTGTTTCAGAAAAAGCGTTGGCTAAAGGGGGCCTTTAGCAGCGCTTTAAGAAAAGCGCTGCCTAAAGGAGCTTTTTTTTAATTATTTTTTTGTTTCAGAAAAAGCGCTGGCTAAAGGGGATATTTAGCAGCGCTTTATAAAAAGTGCTGCCTAAAGGGGGCCTTTAGCAGCGCTTTAAAAGTAAAAACGCTGGCTAAAGGGGGTCTTTAGCAACGCTTCAAAGTAAAAAGGCTGCCTAAAGGGGGGATTTAGCAGCGCTTTTACTTTTAACAAAGCGCTGTCTTTACCTACAGCAGCGCTAGAATAGACAACGCTTTAAAGCGCTGTCTTTACCTACAGCAGCGCTGGAATAGACAACGCTTTAAAGCGCTGTCTAAAGTTAAAAAAAGCGATGTCTAAAGTCTTGTTTGGCGTAGTGTTGATTGAAGACCTTGTTTGTAGTAAAAGTTATTGTTGTTTGTTACAGCTGATATGCTGTACTTTGAATGCCCGAATCTACTTGGGTATATGTTATAAATAGAAGTGTTTGTAAACTAGGAAAGACACGGGTTCAAGATGTAGAAGTCTAGGGATTTATCTTTTGACCTCTCTCTAGGAGAGTTGGTGTAAGTGAACCACTCAGGTTGTGAGATGGTCATTGTTGTTCTCACTCAGAAGCTCTTAAGTATTGAGTTAAATATTGTTTTTGAAGGAAGCTTGGAAGCAACTCCAAATTATGGTCTTAGTCAAGAGTCTTGGCTAGTGATTGTCATGGAAGTGTGTCTTCCTGTTTGTTTAGAATTGTGAAGAATGAACATATATTTACTCTAGTTAAACAATTTACTCTAAAATTAAATCATATATTATTATTCAATTATTCTAAATAAGTTATATTCTAAATATTACTATTCAATTTATTCTAAACACATTTAATTGTATATTTATTTTGTATATTTATTTTCAAAATATATTTAATTGTTTTTGGTCTTAAACATATTTAATTTGTTTGATTATAAACTTTCAATAAATTTTTAATCCTAAACATAAACTATCTTCTTTTCATTTAGAAATATACAAAGTATTTATTTAAGTGATAAATATACTATTTATATAAAATATATAATTTTTTGAAAATATATTTTTTGAAAATTATATAAATTTCAAAAAAATTATGTTTACTGTTTTATACATAAGTATTTATATATTTCAAAAAATATATATAATATTTATATAAAAATATATATTTTTAGAAACTATGTATACATATTTAAAAATTATTTTATTTTGAAAATTAAATATATTTTATTTAGAAACTATATATGTTGTTTTTTAACTATATAAATATATCACTATTTTTTCAGTTCTTTTAAAAAAAATCAAATATATAATCTATATTAAAAATTATACATATTGTTTTTTATACATATGCTATTTTTATAAATACTTATTATACATACTATTTTTATACTAATTTTATACATATATATTTATTATAAATACTGTTTTTCAAACATATTTATTATAAATTATGTTTTTTAATATATATACTATTTCTTAAATATATAAATATTTATATTCTTTTTTCAGTTCTTTAAAAAAAATCAAATATATAATAAATTTTGAAAATTATACATATTATTTTTTATATACATATAATATTTTTATACATACATATTTATTATAAATATTATTTTTCAAACATATTTATTATGAATTCTGTTTTTTTTAATATATATTCTATTTTTTAATATATATCACAAAAAAATACATTTTTTCAATTATTCTATATATGTATATACTGTTTTACAAATATATAAATATATATACTATTTTTTTTCAGTTATTTTAAAAAAATAATAAATAAATTAAATATCACATATATATAAAAAAATAACACACACACATTATATTACACATAAATTATATTACACACTAACATTGAAAATAAATTAAATGCAAAACAAAATAATATAATATATTTACCTGAAATATTTGTGTGAAGATTGAGATTGAAATTTTAGGTTTAATTTGGGGAAAGAATGAGAAGAGAAGAGTGGTTTGCGCATGGAAGAGAAGAGGAATATATGAAACTGTCAAAATTATAACAAGGAATAAGTAATTGAAGCAGTGGAAAAGGTGGAAATTTTAGGGAGGGGGAGCCCTTGGGAATTGAAAAGGTCAAATCTCGCGTGGGATAGCGTGTCACTAATTTCTTTCTTGGAAACAGCCCTCTGCACGCGCAGTCTGCACACTGTCATGACTAAACAAAAGTTGTCTAGTTGGCGTGGGGTAGTCCCTCGATATTGTCACGTTGACAGTTAGCTTGGGGTTGCCCCTCGCTAAATGCAAGGGTTTGCGCACCCATTTATTTTCTCAGAAGTAGTCCCTTGCAAATCAATATTTTAAAATTCAAAATTTCCCTCTTTTAATTTTGCGTGGGGTTTTGCGAGGGGTAACTCCACGCAATTTGTTTTTTATTTTTTTTCCTGATCTACATTTTGCGAGGAGCTATACTCCAAACAACGTTGTTTTTTTCTCTCAGGAGTTTAATCATTGGCTGAATTCCCTAGCAAATTTCATTCTTTGTTGTAGTGATTAACGATAATGAAAAATTGATATTGACAACAAAAACTAAAATTTCATCAAAATTAAAAACTTCAGCAAATTGAAAGAAAAAAATTTGTTAAATTTCGAAAACATTTAACGAAAAGAAAAGAAGAGATTTAACAAGAAAAAGATAAAGAAGAAGAATGGTAGTGGCAATCTCTCAAAATCATAATTTTATCTGCACACACAATATTCTCAAAAAGAAGATCGGGTATCAATAACTATTTTTTTTAAAGGGCAGCTCAACATTTTGAAACAGTAAAACTAATAATCCTCGTACTTTTGTTAACTTTCTTCCTATCTCACTCATAACCATGTTTCTCTCTGATCTAAGTCTATTTTATAAATGCATTTTCAAGATATATTTATTCATACGAAACGAACAAGGATTCAACTTCTGAACACTATATTATATTTGATTTATGGAATTATGATACAAGAACTTGATTGATGATGTACAATTATTATCACATATATTATATATACATTCAGCACAAGAACAGAAGAGACAAGAACTCTTCCATTGTTGGCAAGATGAGCAAAGAGTCTTCCATTTCTATAAATGTTGAGGTTATTAATAACATCAACTAAGGGTAGGGTACCCTTTAATGAAGGCACCTCTTGTGTCTCCATTTTGAGAATATTCCGAGCATCTATAGAAGATGGTAAGGAATAGAAGATGAAGAAAAGGAGAGTGATGAGTAAAGCAGAATTGAAACGAGCCATGTATAGAGAGAGGACTAAAAGAACAAGATAAGGTAATAAGAAGGTGTTTTTGTATTTGTTATGAGTTGAAAAAGAAGAATTGCTTATGTGCTATTTATAGGATTTGGAGTCTCATGTGTTTAAAAACTAAGGCATAATAGTCCAAATACGGTATGACTTATCACTATCACATTCACACTACGTGTGTTGTGTATGTGCGCTTTCTTTTTGACTCAATGCGTGTGTTTTGATCAATTTTACTGTTTTATTTTTTTAAGTTTTGTTATAAGCCTCAAATTGTTATACCCGTTTGATTTGTAAAACAATAAATACGGGACATAACACAATATATAACTGTACAAAATATTTTTTGTAATATATATTATTGATCACAATAATATAATTTTTTTATTAATACATAAAAGATGATATTTTTGATATTTTTAGATAATTTGTGTGTAAGACAAAAAATTATTCTATAATTTGTTTAGTGACAATAATTCATGTTTTTGTCTGGTCTCCTCCCCTAACACATGTTTTGTCCACTTTTTTTAGTTAATTTCTACATCAAACAAGATACAAAAATCACACGTGAGTACATAAATTATTTCTTATAAATTTTTAACGGTATTAAATATTTTTATATCAACAATATTCTTAATTAGGTTAGCTAAAAAGTATTATCTCATGGATGTACCCAGGATCTATTTGATTTACCTTTAAAAATTAATTTTTTTTAAACGATTTTTTTTATCAAAAACAGTTTAATAAAAAAATTATTTATCTCATAGATGTACTCAGAATCTATTAATAAAAATAGATTTAGGACGAATAATAAAAATAGATTCCTAATAAAAAATATAATTATTTTTAAAAAAGAACATCATCTATTAAAATTGTAAATAATATCAACACCATCAAATATAATCATTTATTAGTGTAACTAATATAAAAAAGAGGTCATATTTTAATCAATATCATCAAAATACCTTATAACTATTTAAAAAAATCTTCCTTCTAGCATTTTTTATAGCAAATTCTCCAATCAAATCTTCATATTGTATATTCTCCAACAAAATATTCTCAATTGCTATCGATGCTAACCCATTAAGCCTTTCTTGTAATATTGTAGACCACAAGTAAGACTTCAATTTTGAAAAACTTCTTTTTTGCATAGCAACATCAATAACCATATCTCTTGATTGTAATAGTTTGCTAACCACATTAATTGCGGATAATATTTCAAATCAAATAATTATCGCCATTAAAAACTCAAAATCACCAAGTTCATTTGTTGCTAAAGATTTAACTTCAATTCTTATTTTAGAATCAATATCCTTTTCTGAGACTTCAAGTAAAGCTTCTCTAAAATTTGGCATTTGAGTTGTAATAGCTTTGACACTATCTATATGACTCTCCCAACGAGTGGGTGACAATGATTTTGGAGTCAATCATTTTAGGTTATCTTTCAAAGTTTGTCATCTCTTAGTAGAATTAGCAAAAATAGTATAAATGCGTTAAACAACTCCAAAAAAATCTTTAGCTTTACCACAAGAGTTAGCCAAGTCACATAATATCAAATTAAGGCTATGACAAGCACAAAGAGTATAAAAGGCTCTTGTATTTATGCCTAAAAATTTCTTCTGTACACCTTGATGTTTTCCTTTCATATTGGACCCATTATCATAACCTTGTCCTCACACATCAAATATGTCAAGATCAAGATTTTTCAATTCATCTTGTAAAACATCAAAAAGCCCTTGACCTGTTGTATCATTTTCATTCAAAAATTCTAAAAAAGATTCTTCAACACTAACAGAATTTGAAGAAACATCCAAATATCGTATTATCAAAGATATCTGCTCTTGGTTACTAACATCAGGAGTACAATCAAGAATCATTGATAAATAGTTTGGTTGTTTGATTTTTCTAATGATTTCATTTTTAATTGTAGAAGCAAGCAAAATTATTAACTCATTTTGAATTGTATGCCCAAGAAAGTGAATATGAAGATTATCATATGTAATACGTCTAACATGTTCTTGGACAATTGGGTCAAATTCAGCTAAAATTTTAATTAAGCTAAAAAAATTTTCATTGCTATTTTGGTACAATCTCTCATTACAACCACAAAATACAAATTATGTTTAGAAATTTCACTATTGAAATAATTCTTTTTAAAATGTTTTTCGAGTGTTCCTTTTCTTTCTCAATCAACCTTTGTGTTGTTTTAACAATAGTTTGAAAATTTTACATTCTTTTACGCAACTCATGTCAAGTACTCATACTGTGAACATGGTTCATGCTTGTCTCATGCTCTCTAAGTCTTTCACCAAGATGTTTCCAAGTACAAAAACCCTCATTTGCTATTTGACCTATACCAATCTCTCTTTTAAAAACTTTACAACAAAAACAAAATACTCTATCAAGATTTTTTGAATAAACAAGTCAATCTATATCGCATTTCTCTCTATTTGGTAAAACTCTAGTATACAAATTAGCCATAAGACATCTAGATAAGTTATCTTTAGGACCCTTTCTAATAAACATATCTCTTTCAGGATCTTTTATTGCTAATAAATCAATCATTCTAGACTCAAGAGAATCTCATAATGTTGGATCAATTATATCTATATCTTCACCATTATCATTAGCATTATCAATATTTTCATCATCTAAATTATCATTTTCAGTAGCATTAGCATTAACATTTTCCTCATCATTTTCAGCATCAACCGTATTTTCAATAATTTCAACATCAAATAACAAACAATTTCTTCTTTGTATAGTAACAACAACAACAAGGTAAGAAAAAGAAAAGGAGAAAAAAATACCTGAGTAAACCTTGATTTCAATATTTTCTTCTGTTTGAGAGAGATCAAACGGTATTGAAGAATATGTAAATATTTTTATTAGGTTACTTTTATTTTGTTCGGTCTATTATTGATTGGACATATTATTTATATTGTTTGAACTAGGCTATATAAATACCAATAATTTTTTTGAAGCCCTATATTTTAGAGACACTAGGCGGTGGCCCTGTTTATCCTGCTTCAGGGCCGACACTAAATATCAACCATTAAATTGATCAAAAATTATTTATTAAAATATTAATATGGCTATTAATTCTTCTCTCTTCATTAACCTAATAATTGATATTTATTTCTTTCATCTCTAATTATAAAATTCTCCTACATGATATGCTCATATATATATATATATATATATATATATATATATATATATATATATATATATATATATATATATATATATATATATATATATATATATATATATATATATATATATATATATATATATATATATATATATATATATATATATATATATATATATATATATATATATATATATATATATTATAATTTTTCAAAAAGCTATATTTAAAAAAATGCTTTTTAAGAAAAACTATTTAAAATAATTTCAAATTTAAGTGATTTTTTAAAATTTTGATATCTATAAAAGATATAGTAAGAAAATAAAATATCTAAAATAATATTTTAAGAATAATTATTTAAACTATTTTTTTTAAATTTTAAAAGAAAATATTTTATTAACAAAAAATATGTTACATTATAAAAATTATAGTTTTATCAAATCAAAAAAAGATGCACGTATGAAGTATATATAGGTGTGTAAATTGTAGGCAAAAGGGAAACCTATAAATTTAACAAGGAAAACGATTTTTCTATAATTCTGACACCTGTGTAGATACATGTAACTTATGTGTCGACTCATATAATGACATGTGTCGATCTGTGAGAGATCAATGTGTCGATACATAGTTGTAGAGCCTATAAGCTTTAAAACAACAGTACATTTGTCGATGCATAGAATGGACGTGTCGAGACTTGCAACTGATTTGTATGCAAAAATTTATTTTTAATGACATGTTCGACCTGTATGAGGTTATAGAGTCGACACATAGTTATAGAGCCTACATACTTTATTATTGAATTACATGTGTCGACACATAGTATGGATGTGTCGACACATTCAATTGATTTTTATGCAGAAAATTATTTTTGATGCATGATATCTATTGAATACCTTTTCAAATATGTTCTAGATGCATTCTAAGATCTCTAATATAGGGGTGCACATAATGACTCAGATATTTTTCAATATAAAGAAGAGTTAACTCTATCCTAGTTTTGATATCATGCAAAATATCTATTTAAGAGGCAAATACTTTCCAACCAGACATCTTCGAGATGACATGAAAACATGAACTAGAACAAGAATATATACTTCATAAGAGTTGTATTTTGAAATTTTCAAGAGAGATGACTGGTTCGATATAACCGTACTACAATTTTGTTGCTCGTAAGTACAATTTTTATGGTGATTTCAATGTATATTCATTGTTCTCATACTTTAATATTAATATTTGACTTTTACATTATCTTTTAGGCATATGCATGAGATGTGTGTTGAAAGAGGGCTTAAACAAGTATTGTTTCTTAGACCCATTCAAAATTAAATTTAAACAATTAAAATAAAATGCTATCTAGATGTATATCTATATGAGACCGTTTTACCATGCGTAAGTATATATTAGTTTATATTTTCTTTTATAAATCAAATTTATACATATTATTAATTATTCTAAATGTTTATGCAATTTTTATTTCTAACTAGTTTTTATCTTTTCGAGGGACAAAAAATATTGTAATTATGTTATGCTTGTTATACTATGATATTGATTTATCGATGTGTGAATTTTTTAGCGCGCAAGTGTTATTATTTGTAATACTCAAAATTTATCTTTAGTTTTAAATAGTTTTTATTCATGTTTAATTTTTACTGACATGTAGAGCTATGGAGGGATACAAATTTGTGCAGCGTAGAGTAAAAGGTAAAAAGACAAGGTTTCTTTCCCAAAAATAAGTATTACTTGTTCTTTTTGACATTCTCTTATTTTTACTAATGTATTACTTGTGCTTTGTGTGTATTAGTAACTATATGAAAATATTTGTGGATGCAAAAATAACCTG